ATGCCACAATTCTCCTCATAGAGCCCAGCCTCTCGAATAATCTGCTCTGCATACATGTTGAAAAGGTATGGAGACAGGATGCATCCCTGGCATACACCCTTCCCTATTTTGAACCATGCAGTGTTACCCTGCTCTGTTCTGACTACATACGTATATTAAAAAGCAATCATATGAGACGTGCTTTTACTCAAAATCTATTTGTTGTTTATCGGAAAAACAAATATAATGGAGAATAGAAGTTGGAGAGGGTTTTTTTCTTTTACTTTCTACTACAAATGTTAAATTGATGGATATATTCTATAACATTCTGATTTTTTCTTTCTCAATATCTCTTGGCAGTTGTTGGACTGGATAGCAGAAGCAAACAAAGTGCAGATGATGGTTTTGTCACAGTGAGTCTAAAGCCAGACAAAGGGAAGAGAGCGAATTCTCAAGAAAATCGTAACTACTTGAGATTTTGGTCCCCAGAAAATAAATCCAAGAATGCAAAGGATTTACCCAAATTGAATCAGGTACGTGCTTAACAGTTGAGCACATTCATTTCAAACCTTGAAGCTGTTTGTTCCTGTCACAGGCACATGTAGAATAAAGTACCTCTCGAAGGGAATGGGAAGGATCTGGATGAAAAGACAGGGTAATGATGGGCAATGTCCAATGGTGATTAATTTTATAAAACATAATACATGAGAATGATTGTATGAAACACAATGTGAATGAAAAATAGTGTGAAAACAATGTATATGAACTTTGTAAGCAAACCAATAAAAAAAAAGATAATACTAATTTAGGGAGCTCTGGTGGCCTAGTGACAAGAAGCTGCACTGCAATCTTGAAGGTATGTGGTTCAAGGCCACCAGCTGCTCCGCGTGAGAAGGAAGCAATCTCCTCCAAGCAGATTAACTGCCTCTTAAAACCCGTTGGAGGGTCAGCTGTGGGTCGGTTCCGACTCTACAGTACACAACAACAACAATGCTAATTTGGTAACATCTGATTAATATCTGTTTGAATCTATTTTTTTGCATTCTTTTTGTACATCAAAAGTTGTGAAAAAATGGCCTGCTTAAAGAAAGTGTGAAATAGCTAATTATGGGAATATGGATTTTTTTCATCCCAGTCCACTAGAAACACATGGAAATTCTCTCAAGTGAAGCCTGTGCTTGTTTATAGGTCACTGTTCACAACTGTGGCAGTGTCTGGCATATTTTCCCCTAAAGAGCTCACATGTAACAAGGGCAGAAGAGCACTATCGGTAAACATCATACAGGTCTATAGAAATTATACACCAGGAACATTATGTAAGGTCACACCCTGAAAGGGACAAGTTGAGCTAGCCTTTGAAAAATTGAAGTGTATATGAGAGGTGACATGAAATGATGTCTGAGGTTTCCCTAAGAAACAAGAAGGAATAAAAAGGCTAATGACACAAATGTATGACATAGTGACTCTGAAAAGAATAGGAATCCAGAACACTTGATCGTGCTAATGCAAAACCTATACTTGGACCAGGAGGCAGTCATCAGAACAGAGCAAGAAAACACTGCATGGTTCAAAATAGGATTTATGTCAGGGATGTGTCCTATCTACATACCTTTTCAACCTATATGCAGGTCAGATTATATGGGAAGCTGGGCTGTATGAGGAGAAGTGTGTCATCAGGATTGGAGGTAGACTCACTCATCAACAATCTGAGTTATGCAGATGACACAACCCTGCTTGCTGAAACTGAGGAAGACCTGAAGCGCTTGCTGCAGAAGGTCAAGGACTGCAGCCTTCAATATGGATTGAGGCTCAATATCAAGAAAACAAAGATTCACACCACTGGGCCAATTGGCAGCTTCATGAGAGATGAAGAGATTGAGACTGTTGACAGCTTCAAAATTTGCTTGGCTCTACAGTCAACATTCTTGGTACCAGCAGCCAGGAAATTAAAAGACGAATTGCATTGGGAAAGTCGGCTGTCAGGGACCTCTGCAGTGTACTGAGGAGCAGCAGTGTCAGTCTGGAGACTAAGGTGTGCCTGAAACAGGCCATCTTCTTTGCAATTACTTGCTTGCTATGCATCAGAAAGCTGGACAATGACTAGGGATAATAAAAGGAGAATTGATGCCTGTGAGCTGTGGTGCTGGAGAAGAGTACTGAATATACCTTGGACTGCTAAGAGAACAAACAAGTTCATCCTGGAGAGGGTGAAGCCATGCTGCTCCTTGTAGGCAAGGATTCTAAAGCTCCATCTGACATACTTTAGACATGTTGCAAGGTGGTATCAGTCCTTAGAGAGGAACATCATGCTTGACGAGGATGGAGGGATAACACAGGAGAGGAAGACCCTTGATATGGATTGATTCAGAGACTGGGATAATAGGGATAGGCGTGTCTGAGACAATAAAATTGGCAAGGGATAGAGCAGGGTTTAGGGCTGTTGTACATAGGGTTGATATAAGTTGCAGGCAATTCGACAGCACATAACAATTGTGGTAACAGCTCAACTCATTGTTGTTGAGTTGGAACTGACTCATAGCTGACTTTCAGAGGCTCTAAATTGTATGGGAGGAGATTGCCCATCTTTCTCCTGAGGAGAAACTGTGGATTTGAACTACCTGCACTTAGGTTGGAAGCACAACTTCTTGGCCTCTAGGCCACCAACATAAGTCATTTAGATTGCCATCTAGATGATGAGTGTACAAAGACTTATTTCATTCTTTGTACAACTATATATGTTTAAAGTTTTGCAAAATTAAAGAACATGAGGAGAGTATCAATAAAGAGACTTTAAACAACAAATGGAGCCATCCCGCATATAGAACTTTTTGGAGATTGTTTAACCAACTACTATCAAATCAATTCCAACTCGGGTGATTCTGTGTGTGTCAGAGTAGAGCTGTGCTCTGTCATTTTCAAAGACTGCCTCTTTAGAAGTGGATCACAAGGCCTTTCTTCTGAGTCCCCTCTGGGTCAACTTGAACTACCAACCTTTCAATTAGTAGCCAAGATGTTCGCCATTTGCACAACTTAAAGAGATCCTTTTAGATGAAGTCTTACTTGTAACTTCTTCAGCCCTGCCTCTGTACTCCCCATAAGACTCACGTTCTTTCATTTTTCAGGGCCAGTTTATTGAGCTGTGCAAGACGATGTATAACATGTTTAGCGAGGACCCCAATGAACAGGAGCTGTACCACGCCACGGCAGCAGTGACCAGCCTCCTGCTGGAGATCGGGGAGGTGGGCAAGCTCTTCATCACCCAGCCTGCAAAGGAGGGCGGCGGCGGGGGCAGCGCGGGCATCCCAGGCGTGCTCTTCCCCAAGAAAGCGCCCGGCCAGCCTTACGTGGTGGAGTCTGTGGAGGCCCTGCCCACCAGCTTGGCCGCCGACGGTGAGGAGCACTCCCTGGGAGGACAGATGGAGGACATTAAGCTGGAGGACTCCTCGCCCCGAGACAACGGGGCCTGCTCCTCCATGCTGATCTCCGACAACGACACCAAGGATGACAGCTCCATGTCCTCCTACTCGGTGCTAAGTGCTGACTCCCACGAGGAGGACAAGCTGCATTGTGAGGACATCGGGGAGGACACGGTCCTGGTGCGCAGCGGCCAGGGCACAGCGGCGCTGCCCCAGAGCACCAGCCTGGACCCGGACTGGGCCATCACCTTCGAGCAGTTCCTGGCCTCCCTACTGACGGAGCCCGCCCTGGTGAAGTACTTTGACAAGCCCGTGTGCATGATGGCCAGGATCACCAGTGCGAAAAACATCCGGATGATGGGCAAGCCCCTCACCTCCGCCAGTGACTACGAGATCTCAGCCATGTCAGGCTGACCCGGGGAGGGCCGGGGAGGGTCTTTTTTATGTTCTTCTGTGTTGGCCTTTCTTTCTTTTAAATTAAGTATTTATTAGTACCTGGCTCAAAGCCGGGTGTTTTCATAATATACAATACAAACTATTGGAGAAATATTTAAACACCTCAATGGACGCTCAGTACACTTACTCTGCTGGGGGTGGGAGGGAACGGTACGGGTTTCCAGAACACAGTTTATTCCATGAATTAAAAAAAAGAAGAATCTGTCGGTGACCTGTGTGTATTATAACTTACTACTATTGCTGTTGAGTTGTATACATGGTTTAAAAAATAGTGCTATTTAATGCTTAATAAGGTGGCCGTCGTTTGTGTATCTGGGCTTTTTAAGTAAAACTAGAGTTGTAAGGAATGTGAAATACCACAAACACAAGACTGTTCTTAATTAAAAAAGACATTGTCAACTGGGGTGAGTCCTGTACCACACTGCTTTAGGGTGTGCTTTACCACACTTTTTTAGGACTTAAAATATATTTTTTAAAAGTCCACTAGTCAAAACGGTTACTCAACAGATGCCCCCCACCCCGGGAAAAACACTTAAAGATCTACACAGTATGAATGTCTAAATAATTTTTATGTGAAACCAGAATAATAGAACTTCTGTTGGGTCATATTGGGAAAAGACCAGACCAATTTATCATTTTAATAAAAACTTGTGATTATTTATGTCACTTGGACAGAATTCAGTATAAATGAACGGTCTTTTGTTACAGAGAATCTGAGAACAGTGAAGATGACACAGAGGTTAATTTTATTTATTTATTTTTGTTTGTTTGTTTCTTTGAAAGGACGAACATACTTCTGATACTGAATCTTTAGCTCTTCCTTCTTCATTGTAAAGAAAGCAAAAAATGAAAACATTAAACATTACCATCTCTGTAATTGCCATAGATTAAAGAAAGTATACCATGTATCACCTATGGACCATCTTTCCATTAAATCAACATAGAAATCATGTAAAGGGGGCGGAAAAGCCCAACCTGCAAGATAACATAACTGAATGTGCTCAAACTTGTCACTTTATATAAAAGAATAGTATACTCTATCTTTTTCCTGAATGATGTGGAGATGAAAACTAGCACACCTGCACTTTGAATTCTTGCTTCTTTTTTATGACTATTACAGTTTTGAGTTTTTTTTTACAGATATGGGAGGATTTCCCCCTGCTTCTTATTGTTGATTTTATAATAATCATGGTCACCTTTTCTTTGCTTATTCAAGCTATTCCTTTCAACACATTCCTTTATTTTATTATACATTGTGTCCTTATTTTAGTTATTGCTGCTGTTTTCTATTTTGTTTACAGTATGATTTTTAAACTGTCAAATGAAGTAGTGTTAACCTCAAATAGGATAAATGTGAACAAATAAAATATATCAACTACTCATAGTTTTTATCTTTGCACTTGTGTTCCTGCCTAAGTTACTAACATTCCTTTGCAGGAGAAAGTTTGTCGGGCAACCTTTATGGCTAACTTTTATAGGCAAATGTTTTGAGATAATAAGTATATAGTGACATATATTAATGAATGTATTTAAAATAAGAGACTATGCCAGTAGTCTAGTTTAAAATTAGTTTCTTACATAGAGGATAGTACCATGAAAACCTTTGTTTAACCATTGTTAGTACACTGAAAAGTCATTTAATATGTATTTAAGTGAGCTCCCTGGGTGGTACAAATGGTTAATGAGCTCTGCTGCTAACAAAGTTTGGAAGTTCGAATCCACCTAGAGGTGAGTGTCCTGGAAGAAACGCCTGGAAATCTACATATAAAAGACCGGTCCTTGAAAACCCCACAGAGCATGGTTCTGCTCTGGCATATACAGAATTGCCTTGAATCAGAGTACAGAGAGCTGCTGGTTTATGTATTTAGTCACATTGCCCTTTCTCTGCTTTGACTTTATACAGTATGCTCTAAGGAATGAAAGATTCCTCAAGAAACAATTATAAAATTGAATCTCAAACTCAAAACCTGATTGCCATTGACTCAGAAAACATTCCTAGCTGGCCCTCCAGTGGGTTTCCGAGGCTGTAGATCCCATGGGAGATTCCCGCGCTTTCTCCTGAGGAGCAGCTGGTGAATCCAAACCCCCGGAGAAGTGCCGTCTTCCCCTAGCAGTGCAGCTGCCTCTGGATTAGACCACCAGGGCTCCCTGTAAAATCTGATATTTTCACCCAATTCTAATGATCAGGAAGTGATTGAGAGTAAGGGCAGGTGAAGGGAAGTGTGAATTTAAAAGTATGTTGCGTTCCTTATGACTCAGGGTGAAGTCTCTCTCAGGGAGGAGTGATAGGGAATGGCAAAGGACACACTGACAAAGAAGATTAATCAGAACTGGCTT